CAACCCTATCCCCCCCCTCCCCCAACCCTTTACCTGGCTCATAAAAAATCTCAGTCCCTCCAGATTTTTCGTTTTATTCGCAAAAGGTCTATTATATGCTACTCGCAAAAAGTTAAGGACCACTTAAGTCACACATAGCACATAAAACTGAAAAACAGGACACGGTTCAAATTTGTTTGAGATGGGTCTTTATTCATCATATCATCTTTTGCAAAATACATTTTGCACATTTTTAAATGGGAAATGGATACTTTCAGATGTTGAAGGGGGTAACCCACTTTTTTAAAATTCACATCACAACCGTCTTAAACAATTACAGCTCAAAATCGCGTGTGGCCACCATTTGCAAGAAACGGTCATTGCATCTTTGTCTCAAGGACTGAATGATGTTCGCAATGACAGTTGTTGAACGGCTTGTTATTCTTGGTCCAAAATGTTAAAGAGTTTATCCACATTGTTTGGAGATGGCTGATGGCCTCTTACTCTTACTCGTCGCCCAAGAGCATCCCACAAGTGTTCAATGGGACTACGGTCCGGTGATCGGGCTGGCCAGTAAAGCCTGATCACGTGCTGCTTTTGCAGGAAGTCATCCACCACTCGAGCGCGGTGAGGTTTGACGTTGTCATCCTGGAGTACCGCGCCCTGGTCCATTGCCCGAAGAGCTGGAATTGCAATTCGGCGGAGAATGTCGTCCCTATAGTGGACACCCGTCAGAGTGCCTTGAATGCGATGCAGGGGGTCCCACCCCACACCATAACGAAGCCTCCCCCCTACCGGTCATGCTCCTGTTCACAGTCGTCGTGGAAGCACTCACCAGGACGCCTCCAAACATGGATCCTGCCATCGTTGAAGGACAATGGGAACCTGGACTCACATGTGAAGAGGGCAGTAGACCACTGCGGGCGTGTCCACCTCAGGTGCTGGGCGGACCAGGTTCTGCGGGCAATCCGGTGGGCCTGTGTCAGGGGAACCCGGTCTGCTGGACGTCTGGAGTGTAGACCAATCACACGCAGCCGGTTTCTAATGGTCTGGTCGCTGATTCCAACGTTACTTAGGGGTACCACCTGCTGTCTGATGTGACAGGCAGTGCAGGTTCGAGTTACCAGGGCTGTTCTGGCGATCGCCTGGTCTTCTCGTCTGATCTTCTCGTCGTGTGGCACAGCATGGCCGTCTGACCCGCCTTCATTCAACAGCAGTTCCAGTTGCAGCAACCCGGTCTCTCAGTCTGATGGTCACTGAGTGACTCACAGCAACCCGGTCTCTCAGTCTGATGATCACTGAGTGACTCACAGCAACCCGGTCTCTCAGTCTGATGGTCACTGAGTGACTCACAGCAACCCGGTCTCTCAGTCTGATGGTCACTGAGTGACTCACAGCAACCCGGTCTCTCAGTCTGATGATCACTGAGTGACTCACAGCAACCCGGTCTCTCAGTCTGATGATCACTGAGTGACTCACAGCAACCCGGTATCTCAGTCAGAGGATCACTGAGTGACTCACAGCAAGCCATCTTGCCTCTTCACGGACATCAATCCCTTCGTGGGGCCAGGCCAGGGATCGTTCCTTGTCGATGTAGCTCAGACGTCTTCTTGGACTGGAGGCATCGTTAAAAACTGCTTAATGTGCCCCTAATAAATACCCTTAGCACCTTCAACCCCACTCAGGCATTAGTGTAGGAAGCGTGAATTCCCCTGAGTTTTATTTCAACCCATCCCACTCACTGAAAATCACGTCAAAAACAGGTTGAACTTTACAGAAAATTGGCCCCCTTTCCCCCTGTCTAGGCAGCGTAAATTAAACGACATAATGTGTCCAACTTGTTCATCATTGTAAACACCGATGACCCTTCCTTACAATGACATCCACTCACTCACCAAACTTCTCACTCTTTGTTTATTACACAGTCTAAGACATACTGTAGTGAAAACGGTTGTGGTCTCTTACTTGTTTCGAGTAGTATATTGCACCCCGTATGTTAATGTTTGAAGTGCTTTTCTGTACAGGGATTTGTAAAGAGGAGGGATGGGAAGAGATAGAAGGGAAGTTGAAGGAGGGGGAGGAGGAAGTACGGGATGGAGGAGAGAGGGAAGAAGGAGGGAGGGAAGAAGGAAATGAGGAGAAGAGTAAGGAAGGGAAAGTGAAAAAAGTGGCGGGGGGGGGATGCTTGTTCAGGCATTAGGGGAGTGGTGAGTGGGATACTTTTTATAACACTCAAAAACTTACCTGACCCCATAATATTTCCTCTGGGTTGTTTTTTTCTTCCACAGTCTAAATGCTTCATCTGCGGCATCGGCAAAGACTATTTTGACAAAGTACCGCACGGTTTCGAAATACACGTGAAGAATGAGCACAATTTTGCCAACTACATGTGAGTACAGTAATCCAGACGGTGTTACTTTTTCAGGGATGAGTTCGTCCAAGTCTGTCCTAAGTAGAGGCTAGTTATAGTAGACTTGTATGACAACTAATTGTAAACATAACGACTATGTTATAGAAAACTTGTATGACAACTTGTAAACATAACGACTATGCTTTAGTAAACTTGTATGACGGGTGATAAAGATAACAACTATATTATAGTAGTCTTGTATGACAACTGGTGAAGATAACCACTATGGTCCCCCCTGGGACAGTGTCACTGACTGTAGTGTCTTTAGGCCATTCCCAAAGGGGGGGGGGACATTTCTCATTCAAGAACAGCAGAATTGTAAATGGGCTCATTCATCATGTCACGCTCATAACTGTGCCTGATCTACAACGGGGAACTGCTGCTTTTTCTTTCCTAATCCTTACTATTGCCATTTTTCCTCTACTTCTTTTGTATGTTTATCACACTCTTGTGACCTGCTATTTCCGGGGTGCCTTGGTAGTCGAAGCAGACTTTGTGCTGTTGAAGCTAGAGAGGTGAGCAGTCTAAGTCTGATTCCCTTTAAAGACTTCTCTGTTGACACCCACCCCTTTGCGCTCATATGACCTTATGCAGTTGCGAGCGCCGTAAAACCCTCTACTAAAACAATAACGACTATGATATGGAAATTCGCCCTTGAACTGGCAAAAGTAACATAATAAATGTATATGTGATATTTCCCCCCAAAAAAACTTGTAATAATGACGGCTCATTTTGGAGAATGTCCGTGTGGACTGGTAAGGATAACGGTTAATTATTGGAGATTTCCCAAAGAACTGATAAGAATACTGACTGTGACCAGATAAAAGTATCATCGAAATATCAAAAATTGTCACAAGAACTGAGTAACTGGTAAAAGTAACTGTTAGTTTAGTTTGTGGGTGGTTCGTATTTACGGTCACGCGCTGTTAGCTGATGAGCCAATAACACTCACTTTGTAGCTTGTTCACCTTCGTCTGACCGCGGTTAAAACAAGCTAAATGAAATTGCTCTTTTTAATCTTCTTAGACCTTCGCATAAGGGTCTAAAAGTTGGATGACCAACTGAATCTAAAATCCCGCTCATGAAGACCATTGCAAACTAAGGTTGTGACAGGTTTTCCTTGATATTAGCAGCGCCTAAAGCGGGTCAAACTGTAATAGAGGATCTACTGCCTCAAACCAAGAAAAACATTTCAAATTTGACATATATTGATTTTCACTAACACTACCGGCGGGCGCCGGAGATCCGCCTCGTTCGAAGGCGCTGACTCCCCGGGCCCCGGTGCGGTACCGAAACTGAAAACGAAGTGGCGTCGGTAGCTTAGTGGTTAGGCTACCGGACTCGTAATCGTGAGATTGCGGGTTCGGGGATTCGAGCCTGAGCTCGGTCCGACGTTGTGTCCTTGGGAAAGGCACTTTACACGAATTTCCCACTTGGCTCGGTCCTTTCGGAGACGGACGTTAAACTAGGAGGCCCGCCTCTTAAATAACCTAATAGTGTTGATAGGGGCGTTAAACCCATACCATTTCACCATTTTTCACCAACACTACACTTTTACGTACGCTTAAATACAGGTAGCACCGACTGAGAAACGCCCAAGGAACTTGTTTAGATCTACCAATCACTTTGAGCTGAAAAAACACGGTCCAACGCACGGGTGAGCACTTTTCGAGACTCCCGTGGAGATGTCAAGATAGTCGTGGGATGAAATCTACAAGTTTACACTGGAATTTGGGGGCCGGGTGGTGTTGCTGTCTCAAAATGAGCATTTTGTTTTTGATCACTGAGCTGCAAAAGTGGCATGCAAAGTTCCGCGGGCATAGGTAAATTAATCAATTTAAAAAGCTCGAATTATTCTACGCGGACAGACGAAAGTGAACATGCTTTAGTGCTTTTTCACCTTATTCATTAGTGAACCTTCTGTAAGAGACTTTTCTTTGTCTTTTACGCAAAAAATCACTTGTACGAAAGTGTTTGCTTACACATTATGTAGACTAGGACGTGGATGAATATAGATCTCTATGTTCTCTATCTGTGTAGAGTCAGTGGTGAAATAGGGATTATCATGACGTGACTAGTTGAGCCAGACCGCTTCAGATTTATTTTATGTTTTAGTTTTTTCCCAGCTTAATGGTTGTAGCGTTTCTTTTTATGTCTCTTCCAATCTTTTTCAGGTTCTTCATCATGCACTTGATTAACAAGCCAGATACTGAGTACACTGGACAGGTAAGATTCGAACCCCAGCCCCTGGGGGAATGACATGTCTTAACTGGTCAGGGCTGGAGATAAGGTTGAGGGAAATGTTAACGGGGGGTTTTCACACGCACTCTTTTGGTTCTCGCTTTTCCCATTTCTTTGTTCCTACACGTTTTGAATCTATGATTTGAGCACAGTATCTATTCGGAGACGTCTCTGGCGCAGATAGACCAATAAAAATGCTTTATGCATCTGGACCAAGTAAAAAATCTGGGGGGGTTACAGCGCCCCCCCCCCCCCTGTTTTAACCCATAAATATATATTTTGCAGAGTTTGGTTTGAAATTTTCTTGAAAATAATTGATTTACGACAGTAAACAATACGCAGTTGGACCCCCAAAGCAGTGCGGGAGTACGTCTCCGAATAGTTCCTGGGCGCTCGACGGAGACGTCTCCGATCTTCTACCTATTTTGAGTCCCCCTTTGTTCTGTTTGAATGCAGTAGCGTTCCTTTTGACATTTCGCTGACGACTTGAGGTCACAAAGCTCTTTAGAAATCGTGAAATCGCAAATACAAGTGACGTGTGGAAAAAACCAACAAACAGGAATATTGAACTTAAAACTCAGTTCCGTAGAAAAACGTGAGGCTTGTGGTGTTTTACGGGGTGCCCACTACAGCTGGATCGTCCGACTCGATCGCCTGAAACTGAAAACGAACACGTTTGTTTTTGAGGCGATCGAATCGGGCGATCGAGTCGGGCGATCGCCTCGATCGGCCGATCCCGTCCGTAGTTGGGCACTCCATATTAGCTTTAGGTTTTGTTTTGTGTTTTTTGTTGCCTGTTTTTAGTTACTTGTATTTTTAGTAAGAGACTTGCGGCACTTGCAACCCAAAAAGATGATAAATTATATACATGTTGGAAGATTTTAGACGTTACCCGAGAGTAACCTACAAATAAAGAAGGAGTACATGTATATTATACATCTGTAAATACATCTGCTGGTATTTTTGTTTTGAACCAAAAACACATGTGTAAATACATCTTTGTGTATTTATCTCTGTGTGTGAGCGCGCGCGCGTGTGTGTGTGTGTGTTTGTGTGTGTGTGTGTGTGTGTGTGTGTGTGTG